TCAGCCAACGACGGCAGCGCCTCGTGGCTCTGAAAATACGCTTGAAGCTCAGGGCATATATACTATTGTTTGAATACAGCAATCCCAATGTCCAACATTTCGTGTTAGGGAACGAAAAAGAAAATGGACCTGTGAACTGAGAATCGGCTCGGCATTTTAATGACTGTAAATTCCAAAATTTAATAATGTTACAGTTTTTATTACAATTGTAATAACATTAACTGAACTTTATTTATGTTTCCATAGGACTCTATTGTTTTGTGAGCTTTCTGTGATACAGCTACATTTACACGATTTTAAAATTAGTATTTCACAAAATTATGTTCGTGATTGAATCTTCTGCGCTCACGACTGGCTACTATGCCTTGGTGTTTTTATCTCGTAGACTTGGATCAGACCGCTCTCGGTAGTGTGCCTCCTGATTTGGCCCAGCAGCGTACATGGCCCCTGCTTCATTGATCTCCGGGCATTCGCTTCTGATGGAAGACTTGAGTGAGAGACGTCGCTAAGGGTTCTGCGTCGGGTGAATGCCCACGCTCACGCTCCTCGCTCACTCCGCTGCTCCGCTCACTCGCTCATTTCCCACGCTGCTGAGGAGCGCTCTTCAGAGAAGACGATAAGTTCAGTTCGCACGAAAAATACAGTCCACATATTGAACTTTATTTGGTTCATAAGGCTTAACAATTACATTTAATATCATGTAATTTATATATTACATTTTGCATTCGATGACGAGAATATTTGCACGTAGGATGGAGTTATTTGCCAATAACGTGTGGCGAATTTTTTGAGGAAACTTATTTGTACTTGGTGCCTAATCTCTTATGAAACTACAAATATATTAGAATAAAAAAATAGGCTACTACAACATGACAACGCTCCACAATACAAAAACATAAACACTACTGATACATCCTGAAATAACGATGTACCAGAATGTGTAAATGCTAGATCGCTTTACACAGTTCTTTTTTTGTTTTTTCCTCTATAGAAAATGAACATTTGTATTTACACGGTATTGCTTCAGTATCGAAAATAGATGAACGAGACTCAGCGATTTATACAGTTATTTTATTTTCTGTAAGTAATCGTGATGAAAATATTTCCTCCGGGCGCCGCAAACAGCGCTGAATCTCAAACAGTTGAACGCTCTCAAAAGTGAACAAAGTAAACAAATTACTCCTCATCCGTAACAACCGAGAAAAAGTTCTTGGAGTGTCGCTCGGAGCTCGGTAATCAAAATGGAAGCCTTTACAAAAAAATGAGCATGTTTCATTTTTCTCTGCAGCTTACATCCAGTTTGTTCCGCCATGTTTCTACAGGGATAACGAAGGATGATAAAAGAAACGTGTTAAGCAGACTTTACGCTTGACCTCTAGAATAGTTATACATAATACGAGTGTTAAAATAACTTGTCACGTGTGTGATACACTATTTTTAGACAGCCTTGCTGACCTTCATTTTATTATTATCCAATTATAAAAAGCATTGAATGATAAATTAAGATTAGTAGTAGTTGATGCGGTTTTTTTGAACGAAAGATTTGTTTCTGCATTCACTGATTTATCTGAACACTTGAGCATCATCTCACTTTTAGCACTAGTGTTAAAAATTGAACTTTTAGCACGCTATGGATGCTCTGAAAGAACAGCAGTGGCATTGTAAAAATATTCATTCGTTAAATCATGATGTGGTGAACATTTACTATTATTATTATTTTGGAATATTTCAAATTATAATATAAAATAATATAAGTTAAATGTAAATCACAATACATTGTACTCAGATAAAATATTACATTAAAACCTTCTTTTTAAAGAAACATAATTTTATGAACAATTTACACAAAAAAATTCGTTGTATTAACAGTTCTGGCACTTGAAGTTACTTAAAATTTTTCCTGATTCACCTAGTTATATGGCAGTGAGTGCCACCGTTGGAGGGCGGATTGGGTGGCGGAGACGCGCCACTAGAAGCCGGCAGGCAGGCAGGGCAGGGAACTAGCTGCGGGTGAAGCGCAGCCCTTCCCGCCCACTCACCCACTCGCCCGCTCGCCCCGGCTCCACGAGCGTGCGCCCGCCATAATTGGGCGCGCAGAAATAATTATAATTAATGATTCTATTTCATTTGCAGCGCACAATTGATCACTGCGCCGGATCCCTGGGCTCTTATCAATTTCGCGTCCCGAAACAAAATCAGTTTGTATTTACGTTGTAGCGTTTTCAATTAAAAGGATATTTATTCTAAAAGCTGGGAATTTATTTGGCGTGTTTCTCTCGGATATTAATGGATATGGAAAAATCCTGCGGCGGCTTTCGCAGCTGCGGGCGCTCTTGCGCACAAAACGCGCTAATGCTAATGCAGCGGCGATAGTGTCGCCCCGGGACAATGGACAGGAGCACAATGGGCTGCGCGGACCCGCCCCGACTTCCCGCCCCGACCCTCCGCCCGCCGCACTGTTCGACCCGAACGCATACCAACGAACGCAAGGAAGAATGGACCACGCGGCAATATTACATCATTCGGGAATATTGTACAATATTTATTTGCGCACCAAGGGCGTTATTAGAACCAGTTAATGCTTGTGGTACAAACATGATGTTATTTTTGTCTAATTTTAATGATTCTGATTTACTAGTTAAGTAAATGTTTAATTGATTCGGTTTGTCTTTTTATATTTCACCCCATAATTCCCTTTCAAAATTTACTCCGTAACATAATTTATTCAACTGTTTTCATATTTCACTTGAAACCACGAACTTCTCGATCCAGGTAAGTTACGTAATGTACTATATGAAGCTCCGTATCAAAGGCATTAATAAGCAATAACCTATCAGTATAAAGTAAATTATTCTACATTAGGCAATTAATTCTTCTATTCTTTTCAAGTCTGGTTATGTTGACCTACTTATTGAATTCTTTAATTTCTGTTAAATTCGAATTTTAAACGTTTCTTTTGTATTTCTCTTTTAATTGTTCTAATTGATTTTAAACAGCTCTGGAGAGGCCGGGTAAATTACGATTAGCGCTTTTGCCGTGCACCACCAAGTCACAGGTTTGATCTGCAGCGAATATATGTGGCATTAGTGGTAGATATAACGAGCTTTTCGCAGGTTTGCTCTACCTCTCATTATATCATTCCTACAACGTTCACTTCATTATAATGTTTTCACACTCATATATCTCAACCACATAAGCAATTGAAGATATCCTAAACCTGAATAAATAAATAAATAGTCTAAGAGGATCTGGGTTACTGTTGAAATATTCCGGCCTATCATGACCCTTTTTGATAGTTCCATTTCTTTTTTACATGAACTGGAAGCGAAAAAGGCTCGTAGAACGCTGATACAGTTTTGCTGTTCTATGCCTATTTCTACCCAGAATCAGGTTTTCTGGGTAATTTTCTTAATTTCTTTTCAAAGAATCATAAAATTGACAATGAATTTCTGAAAAGTTACCGTTAGTATATAATTAATTTTCAGTAATGCTATGTTTTCACAATCTTCAAAACGTAGTTACGACTTGGGCGAAGTTAACTTGTTAATATTCACCGCACAAAATGGCAACTTACTAAGCGCCAATATTGAACTCTCGGCAGCTAAGCGTCGAACGAGGGAGACGAGAGAAGAAGGGGAAGGGGTAGCAGGGACGGCGCAGTGAAGAACGCCCCGCCTTGCAGGCGCAAAAAGAAGGCGGCCAGGAGTTAACGCTCTGATTTACAGCCCGCAGCTCACCCACCGCATTTGCATAAGTGCCATCTGCCCGACATCACTTTTTTATTGTTTTAGGATGTTTGCTTTCTTGCTTTAAATGAGAAAATTCCTTCAAGTAAAAAGATTGTGGAAGAAGTGAGAATGTATATGTAACGTTTTATGAAAGCCTTTGTAACTATCTAAAAAATATTTATCGTATTAGTAAGTAATATTTACAGTAATAGTTAAACAGGTGGCTTTGAAAGGTATTTAAATTTGGGCACAAGGGTGAAGACTAAAGAAAATTCAACATCTGATGTTAATTTTTTAAATTTTGTTTTCAGAGGATCAGAAAATTGCCAATGAATTTCCTTTTTGTGTTTATCTCTTACATAGTAATACTCAATAATTTTGAAATTTTCTACTGAATTGCAGTCAGAAAAATCAGGTACATTCCTAATACTATTCTCTATCCGACTCTACCATCAGCTCTTCTGCAAGTGCAATATTCAACAGAATATATCTTTATGAAATCTGCGTAACATTCATTAATTAAGTCAGCATCGCTTAATTGAATTTTTAAACAAGTGTCGCTGTCGAACTTGAGCGATAAAATTTCGTATGATGCGACTTATAGAAGACGCATGGTTTGGGATTGCAGGGAAAGGGATCATAATGTCAAGACCACATATCTTGTCATTATGATCATTTTGATGATCTTGTCATGCCCACACTCAGTAACGTCGGGCATAAAGCAGAGGGCGAAAAAATCGAAGTTTTCTTTCTAAAATCTGGTGTCGATTACAAGCCTATCGATATCTTTTATGTCCAATCCTATCTATTATCTATGTATATCTTTTAGGATCACGAAAATATCTTAATTATAATACCTGCTTCTGAGAAATATCTGGAGCAAAATGATTTTGATGATTATCACATGAAAATACAAAGAATGATAGAATATACAAAGAATGAGGAAGTATGCAATGAAAGATAGAATAAGAGGCAGGAGAAACGGGAACATCCCTTGAAAACCAGCCGAGAATAGAACCAGAAACTCTACATTGATCGATCTGGGATTGAATGTCTGTTTTCATGGCGCAATAGTAGATGGCTCACAACTACACCCATAAAAGCTACAGATAATAATAATATTAATAATAATAACAATTATTATTAGTATTATAATGTAACATTAAAGCTTACCCCTATTTTAGAGCTACAGTGTTAAGCTCAGAGTCAGAATTGCTGCTGACTCTGCAGCGACTCTACCTAGGGGTTTCTAAGGTTCGAGACCTGATGGTGGCGGATTTTCGATTCTAGCTAGAAAGTTCGGTCGAATTCAGCCGCTGCCTAAAGGTAAATTCTAGATAAAGGCTACTCTAATCTGTAGTTTTCCATGGTTGCTCTGGCCGATAACAGGCGAATACCGGATCAGTACCCATAACAATCGGGCACGACTCACGCGCCATCTTTCATGTTTCTTCCTTAATCTATCCTCTTCCGTTTCTTTCACACACATCCACTACACTACCGCATACGTCGGGAGACCGGTCGGAACGTTTGAGCTTGTTATGTGCTGGGGGGGGGGCGGTGCCCTGCCGAGGGAGTGGGAAATGATCCCACACGTTGATTAGGTAGGCGCCGGATCTTACCATCTAGTGGAGAAGGAACACTCCCGTCGTCATGCATTACACTATCGGGACTAACGACTATGGCAGTTGACGTGCCCAGAAACAATGTATGAACTCTTTTAGGGATTGTTCGATATGTGAAAAGAAACGAAATTGCTCATCCCAGAATTCGTGCGATGGATGAACGTCGTTGACGTAAAACGCCCACGCAGCATCCACAACGCACTGCATGCGACGGAGGCCGTGAGGGGCGGTGGGGTGCGGCTAGTACTCACTGTAGCGACTCCTGCGTGCGCGCCTTCTTGCTCTTGACGTAGACGACGGAGGTGACGGCGACGACGACGACGATCATGGCGCATGCGCAGCCCACAGCCACGTAGAAGGTGCCGCTGGAGGTGACGAGCGAGCCGGGCTGCAGACGCACCGAGTCGTTGCGCGGCGCCGGGTCCTCTGCAACACAAAGGAAGCGGTACATTGAAAGGTTGACTGAAAGGAAGGCGTCGTTCAGAAAACACAGTTTTGAGATAATCAAGGAAAACTGTGTGTAGGCTTTTTTGCATAAAATTAACGAAATACGTACAGCTTGCACGAAACATCATACTTCTATCTGATTAAGCACACAAATAAAATTGTTGTGTGTGTTAATGCATATAATCAGGACAAATACAGTTCATTAGATTAGTGCTGAGCCTGGTGTGTATTATTTTATCCGCCTTTTCATAAAGATTTGAATTTCTCATCGCTTCATCGAGCCCTTGTTTCATCCCACTTTACACATTTACATGCCATGCAGTGTAGAAGAATTGCATTCTTCGATTAGCTATAATGCGTTGACAGCTAAGTAGTGATAACTGGCAAATAATGTTAGCGTAGCTATTAATGAGCATTCTCTTTTATCATGTTTCACAAAATCTGTAATTTTTCTCTGTTAGGATAACTTGGATCATTTTTAATCATTTTTAATCGATACCAATATTTTATCATGTATCCTATTTTTAATAATTATATCATCGTGATAACACTGTTTTACAGCCGAGTGTCTCCATTTAATGTACAGCATGTAATTATAGATTGTATGTAAATATTACGTTTTTTTGTATTAACTGAAACGCCTTGTTATGGATTATTCAATTCAAATATGATAAAAAGTGCGAATGTTATTTATCACCGCATGAACCTAGGCTTTCAGACATCTTAAAATGTAAACTGTGTAGAATTAATTCTACGTAGTTCCCAGCTGCAAAAATTATTCCATAGAATATATTTAACAATTACATTGTGACTCAGTTCTATTTACGGTAGAATGGTACTGCAATTTGTGCGATGGTGAAAAGTTAACCGATGTTAATGCAGCTGTTTACTGAAATTCGAACGAATGGAATAAAATTTTGCCCGAGAAAGGCAAGGAGCCCTTGGAGAAAAACGCGGAAATCGCGCCGGGTGGAGGCTGCACCGAATGTGCCGTACCCCGCCCCGTCCCTCTACGCCGCCCTTCGCCCCCTGTACAATAGCGCTCGTGGAGAGTTTCCTCTAATGAGGTTTCCGGGCGAAATTAGCCAAAGGCGCGCGCGCCACTATTGTAAGAATATTTTTTGTCTCCGTTTCCAGCGAGGGCTCATTATCGTCGCAGCTGGCCATTGTAATTGACTCTGCGTTGCGTAATTAAATTATTTCTGGGTGGGGTGGACTGGGGCGCGGCACCACACCGGTGCGAGAGCACGGTGGCCCCTTCCTCCTCCTCGCCACACTTCGTGTCGGACGCCTACGATTGTAGGCCACCCCAGTGCTGGAACACCTTGGCGTTGAGAGGGTTGCGTCTGGCCTTTCGCTAGGCGCACTACAGATATCGGGCGCTTGAACGAGCTTTTGTGGACCGAATTCAGAAACGCCGAAGAAAAACATAACACTCACCCAGGACCTATTAGGTGATAATAGGTCTCACTTTACGAAAGAATTAGAAACATTTATAGAGAAGGTTCGAACTACTTCTGAAACGGTAATCAGGGAGTGGGAAAACTGCATTTGGTAGTAGTATGAACGGAGCCTAGAATGGGGGTGAAATAAATAACTCAATAATTAAGCGGTAATTAACTTACTCAGTCATTAATTTACTAGATTGATAAATAAATCATTAAACAAAGGTGTATTCCATCAAAATATTAAAGGAGCTGTTAAGGTCATATCTCCGGTTAGTAAGCGCAGAAGCGATGGTGCAGCCGATATTCTGTGACGCTGTTTGTTTTCATGGTCTGAAGAGGCCAGAGGCGCAAAGAAAAAGACGTTTACGCCAGGAAATAAATAGTTTTATAAAAATTTGGTAGATTAGCATTTTCTCGTCTTCTGATGGCAGGATTTCCCCCTTTAGTGTTTTCCCCCTAAGCCTTATGGTATCTTCCGCGGCTTTGATGCCATGGAAAATTCGAAGGTTAGAACGCGGTATTATGTAGATATTCAATGTCATAAAGGCCTTCGGCCTAGCTACATAGTTAAAAACTATTTTCATTATATATATATATATATATATATATATATATATATATATATACACGCTCTGCAAAAATTTCCATAGACGAAATACTTTCTCACGAGTATGCTAACCGTCTCTCTCTCTCTCTCTCTCTCTCTCTCTCTCTCTCTCCTCATTCTCTTTCTCTCTTTTTCTTTCTTTCTCTCTGTTTCTCTCTGTCTTTCTCTCTCTCTTTCTCTGCATCTGTCTTCCTCTGTCTCTCTCGGGAGAAATTTCACAATCACAGAGTCAAAATACGCAACGAAGAAGTCTTAATAATCGTACTTCAGTGTGCGGCGGGGTACGCAGCGTGCACCGTGTCGTAAAGAGTCCTGATTAGGGTACTTGAGTCTACAAGAAATCATCAACGCGCGTGTATGTGCACAGGCTTATGCACGTTCCCATCGTACTATTCCTGTTTTCTTCCCGTAAGTAGAAGCAATTGGTTGACAAAGTTTTATCGCAATAGAATGAACGGTACGGCAGGGCATTAAGCAAATTAAAACAAGCAAACAAACAAACAACCTTTTTTATATATAAGATATAATAATTACCTACTAAATAAAATAAAATATTACAGCGGTTCCAAGAATGGTTAAGATTGTTCCTCGTGGGGCGGAGATGCAGGCAATTGTTAACCTAGAAATCGGAATGTCTGTATAGAGATCGGGGTGTCTGTATTGATGGATGACTGTCTTTCCGAATGGATGGTTGTATAGATGTGTCACGATAAAGTCTGTCAGGTAAAACGATTTTGAGCTGAATTTTGATAAATACTCGAGGAGTAAAATCTAGCAGAGATTTTAGTTTTAGGGGTATTTTACATGAAGCCCTTATTATATTGTCTGTATTTTCTAGAAAATTGTTGAAATATGTTTTTGACTTTCCTTGCTTCAATAGAAGAACGTGCTATATATTGCTAATATAAATTTAAATTTCTGACATTTAGAAAATTGCATAGATCTTAATATTTAGAACACTAACGGCTTGCGTTTAGATGGAAGTTTGGGCTTTGTAATCAACCAAATTTCCTGAGCTTTGCTCATAAAAATTGGCCAGTTATGTTTTATGCTCATTATTATTATTGTTATTATCTTATAACATTAGTTTTTGAGACGTAGTACACCACAAAATGAAACAGTGTTTTTTCACATATAGGGGATATGTAGAGCTTAACTTTTCTTTAGACATATTTCACGCATTTATAATTTTCGGCGTGAATTCTTGCTGCTAGGAATTTTAAGATATGTAGAAGTTTCCCAAGCTATTTTTCAACTATTTTGATTTTTGTGGCTAGGATGTTTTCTGCATAACTTGATTTAATTGCAAATTTTTAAGTGATGTCATGCAGTTTTAAGAATCTGAGTAGTTGCTAATCTTAATATTTAGGAGAGGAAAAGTTTTGGTATGACATGCTATTCCATTAGTTTATCTTCCAGTCGAAATCAGTGAGCTGGTGTAGCGTTTTTGAAAACAGAATCTCTCATTGTACTCTCGATTGTCATGCATTTACAAAAAATTGAAAATGGATGCAACTCTAAAGAGTCAATTATATTATTAAGATATGGGCATATACCATTATAAATAGTACGGGTGCGTTTTTATTTCAATCTATTTTAAAATATATGAATGTATAACTCTTGCGCACATTTTTCATATTGTGGAAACAAATTGAAATTGAAGATCTGAATGACAAAAGTATGGGTAAGAAAACAAGATAAAGCTTTGATGAAGTATATAACGTTTAATTAAAAAAGCCGAAATCGCAAGAAGCGATTTCCCCTCTATTCCCGGGGCTGTCGTTTGGTGTGTTGGGCCGCCGCATGTGGCCTTTCGTTCCAGGAAAGGGCTGTGAAGGCGAGGCTTGGCGGGACAGGGCTGTAACGGACACGAGAGAGGCGCCGCTTGGGAAGCCATAAGACCTAACCCCGCCCCCGGTCCCATCCCCGCCCCCACCCCGTCGTGGCCGCTGCGAAACAGCTCGCCGCGCGCGTGTTAACAACGGGTTCGTTGTTTGTCCGCGGGGAGCGGTGAGGCAGCGCGTGCACACAGCGGTCTCTCTCCCTCAAGCTGCGTCTGGAGCAGCAGTGGAAAGCAGAAAGCCTGACGAAGGTTTAAAAGGCTGGTTACACCTTCCTGCACCCACTGCATCTCATCTATAACATTCATTGTGGTTGGTTGTCGGGCGAGACCAGTCATTTTGAGGATGGTTTTTGGCAATGGAGTCCAGTTTTTTCAATTTGCTGACAAGAAATTACTTTATTTTTTACAATTAATACTGTTATATGTTCTATATTAATGCTGAAATCTGTACTGATTTTGCGATTTAAATCGGTGAAAGGACTCCCATATTGAACGCCCCTTCAGTTGCAGTTACCAACTATACTTACGAATGTCTATTAGCAAAGAAATCTCGCTTTACTGATCATAACAATCCCTTTTTCAAGCATTCATAAAAAGTTGTGAACTCGCCGGGTTGTTTTCTCCGCGAATGACTAACGCGCGGCCGTTTCCGAAATTTACAATGCTGCGCGTAGTCTGGAGCGTTGGAGAGAGGCCTCTTGAAGCGGGAGTAAAACTGTATTAAAAGGCGCGAGCGACGTTCCATAAACTGCGCCGCTCCGTCGCGATGCGCGCGGGAGGCGGAGCGAGGAGGGGGGGGGGGAGCGCAGGACATGAAGCGACGCGAAGCCGCTCTGTTCGGCGGCCAATTGGACTCTGGACACACCGACCAGTTTCTGCGAGGTTTGTAATTAAATTGAACATATACAGAAGAGCTGAATAGCCCCGCGGGGCGCGCGCCGGCGCGGCGGCGGCGGCGCCTTCGGCTCGGACCAGGGTGCCCCTGATAAGGCAGCCGCACCGCCGCCACCACGCCTGTATATTTCCCGCCGGGACAGCGTATTCGCCGCCCTGCGCTGGCGTTTCAATTTCCTGCCTCTCCGCTGACAAACGCCGCCCGCCCGCCTGGCGCGCCCGACGTCGCTATCGTCCGGCGCGTTCGCCGCCAACCGCCAACGCCCCGCCCTGCGCCTTACGCTCATCAACTAAGTTCCAAAGTTTGGTGTGCCGCCCGCCGCCCGCCCCTCGCCCGGTTCCGCGCGCGCGGGGCGGGATGTGAGTCGCGGGAGGCTGCGAGGGACGCAACCCTTTCGAGCGGAGCGAGGAGAAGCGAAAGCGGAGCGGAGCGGGCCCAGGACTCGAGAAGGTGCGGCAAGCCAGATAAATCAGCTCCATTTCCGCCGGGACGCGGGATGCGCCTTTTCTTTGCCTGTCAGGCGGCTGACGGCTGACGGGCCGCAGTGTCGGCAGTGCGAGGCCGCTTCCCTCTCAGGCCTCCGCTCCTTCCCGGCCCCGGCCCGCCCCGCTCGGGCGCTCGAGTTGTTTTGCTGCGAGAGTGGGGAAAAGTTGACCAAAGAGAAATGGAAAAAGGATTTTTAGATCACACAAGTTTGAGTCGGGGACAACGGCAGACGCGACCTCATTCCGTGTCGTGTACTGCTTTTTTCGCGTCCTCCGCTCAAAGGGGCGAAAACGAGCGTCGCAGGGGGGGAGGGGCAGGGTGAAAGCCGCAGAGGAATAAATATAGAGCCATAGCGTTGTGTATTGCAACGATCCATCATTGAATTCAGGGTTTTTATTTCAGAATATGTTTTTAGCCCTTGCCTTTAAATCGACTGCGCGGAAGGAAACTAATATAAACGCCGTGTCGTTGCCTCTCCAGCTCTGCGGGTCCGGGGAGGGGAAGGGGAGGGGCGGGCGGCGGCGGCGTGATTGATGCGGCGGCTTGATAAATCGAATTCATTATTATTTATTACGCAGATCTTCAGCAGCAGAGAAGCGGCAAATAAGGAGGGGGAGGGGAGGGAGCAGATAAATCTGTACCCCCGCGCGTCGCAAGCTGCAGGGCGCTGCTCTGAGCGCCGGGATGCCACTTCCCTCAGGGCAAGCGCTCCGAGTCCATGTATCCTTATATCGCGCATGCGCGCTGCTGCCGATATTTAGCTATTGCCCGTCATCATTCCATAGCCGTTCTCTGAAAAGTGAGGAATTTCCGTTTTTCTTTTTATTTTTGGGATGTGCATTTTTGTGAATTGTGTTTAGCGGCACTTCTTGAGGAACATTCGACAATGTATTTAACTTAAACAGTGTATTGCTTCTTGCCACATGCAATTGCATTAAAACTGTACTTTAGAAATAATGATGTAATGAATAGTTATATACACGAGTGTGCAAGTTATGTTTGCGATACGAATGGTATAACGACCGAATATATCTAAAATTCATGGGGGGGAGTGTAAATTAAACCCATTACTATTGAATGTTCTAATTATCTTATACTGTTTCTAGGACTAAGAAAACTAATTTAAGTTAAAATTTACATTTGAACCGGTTTGCGCAGCACTGGTATGTACGACATTCAGCCAAAGTCCACCAAGCGGACACGACACCTGGATCTTCCGAGGCGGCACTGAGTTATTCGTGTGGCTTCAATGAGCAGTAACACGAGTCAAGTTAGAATTCAAGTTATTATTAAAGAACATTTCATTGAAGTCCAGTACTTTGGTTTTTATTTCTTGATCAAAGAGTTAAATAACAGATACACCATTAGAGATCCTTCAGTAATTTTGAATTCCTATGAGTTTCGGGACTTATTGGTTTCCGCACGTGTGGGCACGTGCGGTTTCTACAACGAGTTGTCTCGGCACCTGACTATACCAATCCAATACACCAATCAACGGAAACATTTTAATCCGTGGGTCAATTACTGATAACTTCTTCACGTAAAACTTCTCTGTTGATGATCAAACACCTATTCCATATAATAAAGCAGCTATGTAATTGACTCATCATACGCACGAACTGCAGTCATCTAATAAAGAATTATACAATTAGAGTAGATAAATAATTATTAATATTCATCAAATTTGAAATTAGAGAGTTCAAGGGTCCGCGAGTCTAGACGTGCGTTTTTTTGACACTAAGCTTACAAATAAGTAGAATTCAAACCATTATTTTGCAATCTAGTTGCCGGCTTACTCGTATCTGGTAGTTTCCGTGTTTTCTTACGAAAATCAATTTCAAAAACGTAGTCATGCAAATATCTTAACAAACACGTCTTGATTCGCGTGCGATCTTTCCTTCATCTCTTTTCTGCCCTCCTCTGCATTTACACACCACACACACACCAACAAGGCACCACACGTATCCTACAAACTCTATTGTTATCTACTATATATCGGGAGATTGGTGAGGAACTTTACTGCATGTCCCTGTTCGGGCTGTTTCCTATTGAGAGATACTCGGTAGGTTGAGAAGGTACTTTTGTTTACATTCGCCCCTTTATTCTTAATATAATTATATAGTTTTGAAATATACTCTTAGGAAATATCTCGGAACTGAGTTATTTTACAAATATTAAAAGTTAATAGAAGAGTTTAAAACCGATTAGCTTTTATACACTCAGATGAGAACAGACGGAAAATGAAGTTTAACTGAGATGGTACTTCATTTAAAATGTTGTTGTGTCAAAATTCATTTTAAATTTACTTTGAAATGCAGGCACCACTATCGATCACAGAGATTATTTGAATATTCTGAATACAGAAATTGTACTTGTCAAGTTCTTAAAAACTGTCATTACAAACATGACACAATTTTCAGTTTTCTATGTTTCGTTCAGCGTACTAACGTATTTTTAAAATTTGGACTTCAGTTGATATGTAAGTTACTAAGAAAGTTAATAAAACAAATAATTTAAAAAAATACTTTGTTTTCTAGACTCCTGTATAAAGACGGTTACAAGGGTTGCAGCGATGCTCGGAATAGATGCGGGCATCTCGAATTTTATTTCGTGCCAGTGTTCGTTTCCCCACATTTCCCTCTGTCGAGAGGCACTCGTAGTTCGCGGAGTTACATCGTTCCGCTTTCCGTATACCGAGGGCGAAGGGCAGAGGGCAGGGGCGGGTGGGGGAAGGGAGGGGGGCTAAGAGAAGCGCTCGACTCAGGGCGCGCGAAACACGACCGCGCTGACGGAAGAACGCATTTGCATCCGTAATTGGCAGCCTCCTAGGAGCCGCCTCATTACTTTATTTAAGAGCCTCATTACAGAGGACACCTTGTGCGCGCGCCACACAGTGCTCGCAATTCGAGAAACGTAAATAATACACGCGACGACCCGTCGCGCGGCCTCGACCCCGCCTCTCCATCTCCTTCTCCGCCGTCGTTGTTCGTCACCCCGCCCCCACCCTCCCGCCCCGCGCGTCTGCCCTTGCCCCGCTGCCCTCCTGCCCTCTCGCCCTCCGCCCCCCACCGGTAATAGGGATTGAGTGCCACTTGGACACTCGCGCCCGCCAGTTCGCTCCCCACCCGCACCCGAGCCCGCCTCTATTGACCGATTTCAATTTTTAAAATTGTTAATGACGCGGTTGCGCCCGGCCGCCGCAGTCCGCCCCACCCTGCTGCTTCCCACCCCGCCCATCCGTCCCGACCCTGCCCCACCCCGCTCTGCCCGGCGACCGCGCGCCGCCTTACAAGTTGTCAAAGCCGAGAGGTCTTGCGGGCCGGAAGGCTGAAACCGTTACCCATCAACACGCGGTGAGGAACCTCGGCCGCTTTCCGGGGCCCGGCGCTCGTTGTATTTGGCGTTTGCCCGCGCGCACCGCCCCGGCTCCCGCGCCTCCCCGCCCTACGCCTCTCCCTATTCCGCGCTACCCTCCTGAAGGGGCAAGGAGAATGACGCCCGCCGGCCTACCCGACTGCAGTAGCACGCCCATCGCTGATTTTTCGGAACGAATCGGCCCTTTGCCTGGACCCTGTATGCCAGCTCGGGCGGCATCTCTGCTCCAAATGACAAACCCATCTGCCCAGGCGACTTGGGGGGATGCCGCGGTCGGGGGACAGACAAACAGGGGTTGTACCCTTGCGACCGAGATGTTT